TTTTAGGAGAGTTGGGCTCAATGGTTAGATGCACATGGAACCTCTGGAGACTTTCAGGTCCATGATGGATTCTTGTTCAAAGCCACATGGTATAGGAGCATTATTTATGGCCCCAGTTGAAAAAAGATGTGGAGCTATTTATTAGACAATGTTATGCATGTTTGACTCCCAAGGGACATACACAAAATACCGGCCTCAACACTTTTCTTCCCATTTTAGATGGACCATGGGAAAATCCGTCCATGGATTTTGTGTTGGGTCTTTTGCGGACTCAACGAGGTATGAACTCCATTTATGTTGTTGTTGACAGGTTTCCAAGATAACTCACTTTATTTCATGTAGGAAAACCTCAGATGCTTCTCACGTGGCTTATTTATTCTTTTGAGAGTCTGTTTGCTTACATGGCATCCCAAAAATCATCACTTTTGACCGTGACAACAAGCTCCTTAGCCATTTCTAGCGCGCTTTATGGAAGCAATTGGACACTTTGTTGCAGTATAGTAGTTTAAGCCATTCACAGACAAATGATCAGATATAAATGGTGAATCGAACATTAGAGAATATTCTGCGGAGTCTTTGCAAGGAGTACCCAAGGCATTGGGATAACACCTTGTCCCAGGTAGAGTTTGCTTACAACGATGTTCCTAACATGTCTACTGGCAGGTCCCTTTTTTAGATTGTCTACATTCGGGCACCTATGCATACACCTGACCTAGTTTCGTTACCCACGCTTCCGGGGATGAGCATTGTAGCTGAGCACATGTTGGAAAAGTTGATCGATGTGCATGCTGAGGTGAAGCAAAAGTTGGAGAAGTAGTGACCAAGTATAAAGAAGTGGCAGATAAGCACTGCCACCAAAAGCTTTTTGAGGTTGGTGACATGTTTATGGTTCACTTACGCGAGGAGAGGCTACTCGTGGGGACTTATAACAAGTTGAATCAGAAAAACATCAACCTTTTTCATATTTTGAGGAAGATCAATAACAATGCATATGTTGTTGACCTCTTGTTAGAGTTCCATTCAGATGGTATTTAGCTCCCATATGTTATCTCGAGGACGGGTTGATTTCAAAAGGGAGGGACTGATATAGAATAGGTAGTAGCAGAGTACTTGGAACAGGATGACCGTCGTGCCATCAAAGCACAACGAAAGAACACAAAATAATAGTAAGGGCAAAATAGGTGAGACTCGAAAATTTAGTGGGACCGGTGATGTTTGATCTGAATTGGGCCAACGATCAAGACTCATTACTTCGCCATGAGCTCTTTCAGTTTTGGATCGAATTCTATCGATTTGACCCTCAAAATCCTATTTTTACTGTTTTAGGAAAGATTTTGAAAATTAATAATAAATCATAGGGGATTTCGAATTCAGCATTGTCAGTTTCTTTGGACTCCAGATGGCAAGTGTTTTGTTTAACCATTTTCAAATTCAATAACTTGAAAAAAAAAATTAATTAAAGAACTATGGCCATTCAAGAACTAAAATAGTGACATCCAATATAGATTAAGTTACAAACATGAATAGAAAAAAGAACAAATAAGAAAATTAATTAGGAGAAAATATACAGGCCAACTGTTTGATACAAAAAATTAGAATCTAACAAACTACCCATGAAAGGATTGAGAACAAAATTCAATCGATGATGCAAGAGCGTTAGGTGCGACCTTTAGTTTTAGACAACGCAAGACGAGCTTTAGGTGACGTTAGAGAAAGATTGAGCAAAGAGGTTGAGTCTTTATTTGGGCGTGGATTCCTCTGTAAACAAAACGACGTCGTTTTGCCAAAAAATTGGGTTTTAAAAAAAAGTGATCGAATTGTGCGATTCGTGCGACACGAATCGAATTGTACAAATCGTACGATTCAGGTGCGATTTAACTTTAAAACGATTCTCATATAAAATACAAATTGTTTTGTACCTGTATCGAATCGAATCTCGAATCGTGAATCGTACGATTTTGATAACTATGCTCACAATCTAAAGATGACAACTGACGCAACTAACTATTAAGACTTCGTAAAGTTGGATGCCCAAGTTGGTAATGCCACTGATGTGGAGAACATGAAGTGTGTAAAATAGGGTTGCAAGCAGGAACTGCATTAAGATAATAAAGAATGTTGTCTTCATGACCTCCACCAATCATCTTCCTCGGAGGTCCTAAAACACACAAAAAGAAGGATATTATGTTACTGAACAATTTAAGGATTTAGTGAGTTGACTCACAGATATCAAATTGAATGAAAATTTAGGAACATGCAAGACTGAGGATTAAAACAATGAGGATGTAGGGTTCACAGTGCCAACACCAGATACTAAGGATGAAGATCCAAGAACTAATGTGACATGTTGATTAGTAGAAATATGATTAAAATATGAGAATGCGCTCACATTACTTGTCATATGATCAAAGGCCCCAGAGTCAATGATCCATGGAGATGAAGTAGATGAATGAGACATCAAACATGATGTCCCTAACTAGGCCAAAGTACCTATGGAAGTAGAAGTAAAAGTAGGAATACCAGACTTAGAAACTAGCTGATTATACTCCTCCTTGGACATAGATATAATCTCTGATGTGGATAGAGGCTCACCGAGAGCAGATTGTCCTAAACCCAAATCATCTAAGAAAGACACAACATGAGCATAAGAAGAGGGTTTGCCATGGAGATCTCAACAATAGTCTACTGTATGACCTTTAAGTTCATAATGAGTGTAAAGCTTCATAGATCTGCGACCTCTACCACCGCGATTGTCTATTGGTCGGCAACCACCTCTTCTTCGCCCATCGCGATTTCCTCTACCTCACGAGAGAAATTATAATTCCCTTGATTAGGCAATACAACTAAAGCCGAGCGATAAGGTACAAAAAAACTTTTGGCATCGAAGGAATTTTCTTGCTAGCCAAAATCTGAGCACTGATAGGTTCTAATTCTAATTTTAAACCTGAGAGGAAGGGAGCAACCATTAATTCCTCGCATGGCTTTTTATGGACTTTCAAATCAGTAGAGAATGGATGAATAAGCATTGAGATTATTCATAATATTTTGCAGCACAAAGTAGTATTCTTCATTGTTTTTATCAACTTGCTCCAGGCTAAAGAAATCTTGAAATAACTAATAAATTCGAGTAACATTATCTTGTCCGGAAAACAAACGAGTAACTGCGAGCCATATCTCCTTAGCAGTTTCAAGAGACATGAGATGAATACTAATTCGAGGTTCCATACTTTTCCATAACAACGCCATCACTTATGCATTCTCTACTTTCCACTGTTTAAGCTTTGAATTATTTTCACTCGGCTTATCCTCTGAGAGATATTCAACTTTATTTTTCACAGTTAAAAGAAACGAGACTTGGGTACCTAGTTATTACCATTCAACTTAATGGAGGTAATGGATAAACCAGTAAAGTCATTCACCACAGATCCAATACCACTGGAAGAGGAGTTATTCTCGTCCATAATGCCAAGACCAAGTAGAAACAGAAGAGCAGAAGGGCTGAACATACTATGTGCTGGATGAACCGAGCAGAAGAGAAGAAACAGAAACAGAAACAGAAGAGCTTACGTGCTGGATGAACCGAGTAGAAGAGAAGAAACAAGAACCAGTTTGGATGGGACAAAACTGGCGCTGGAGAGACTTCAAGTGATCTGATCCAGGCTGAACCGGTCTGGAAGCACGAAGGACCGACTTGAATGGACCAAAGTCTGGATCGGTCCGGACTGGGTTAAACCGAATCGGTTTAAGGTTTGAACTAGGGCTGAACCAGTCTGAAATATGTTGAACCTGTTGGGCTGGATTGAACTTCAGTATTTGGGCTTCTGATAAGATTGGGCTGGACACTTTTAGCTTGGACTGGACTTTGATACTTTGAGCTTGGAGTGGACTTATTCTGAGATAAGTATGCTTGGAGTGGACTTGGGTTTCTGAAATAAGTAGCCAACCTGAAAGGAGGATTCGATTGAACCGGGCCCTTTCTTCAACCTTCGACTATCTGAATCCCTAAACCAGATCCTTTCTGCAACCACCGCGACCCTAGAAATTCATCAATCCAAGAAACGAATCAACCAACAACAAATACGATTTCATTCAAGAAACTCAACAACAATTGCCCAGATCTGCCACATCATCTTCACTCCACTGTGATTCATTTGATCACCCACAGCAACAACTCTTGGACAACGATCGAATTATTCGATCAACAACATCAGTGACTCACCTCAACGACAAACAATGGCTCAATGGTGGTCGGTGAACAGTGATTTCAGCTCGACAATAACCGACGACTCACACTGACTCCACCTCAATGGTGGCTCTGATACCATAGAAACAGTACAGCGAGAGAGAGAGAGAGAGAGAGAGAGAGAGAGAGAGATGTAATTGAATATGGAATGACATAGCCTCTTCTATTGACTAAATATATATGGTTACACATATGAGAATGAGGCAATGACTCTATTACCCTTCACTCACTAACAATCTTATGCCTACTTAGTTTATCTATTTTTCTTATGGTTCAGGTCTCTAATCTAAGTTTAGTATCATGGACTAAATTCTTTATACAAGCTAGTCTAGAGTGACACAGCAACCATTGCACCATTTTTCCCAAATTTTAAGTGACTAAAATGTGGCACGTACTTGTCATTTTTTGAAACATTGAGTTGCAGGTGCACTATATCGATTAAGGGGAATATCCTAATATTTATGCACATATTCATGGGATTCATGTTCTTTAGAGGTCTAACAAGTTTTACATTGGGTATCACTACTTAATGTAACCCTCCTTTATCTATGCTTGGGACCGGTTGTGGAGAGAATAGGCATTAAACACAACACATGCGGAGTTATCACTGATTTGTGGAAGTAGAGTAATTGTATGTCCCTAACTCGGGTCAAGTGATCAGATCGTTGCATTTGCCAGTTGCTTAAGGAGTGTCTACTGTATAAAGTATAAACTACTAACGGTGTTGCTTATTGCCTTTTATTGTTCTTCTGTGCAGGATGCCCACCATACTTTTATTGAGGATTCTGAAGTTATAGTTGATTACAACCGACAGCAGTTGATGCCAGGGTGGATCCCAAGACGGTTAGGTCAGTGAAATTCTCTTTCCGTGAAAACTTGTTGCTTACCCAGATGACTTCTGAAGTCATTTACTTGACAGGAGGGGGCCTTGGTGGGAAGAAGGAATCAGGGCAGCTTCGTTTTGGAGGACGAGAAAGACCTTTTCGGGCTCCACTGTATGCATCAGTATTCATTATTTTCCATCAATTTATTTAACAAATTTGTTGTTTTGCCCTCAAAAACCTTTGCAAAATCCAACTTTACACCTTTCATTAAAAAAGTTATTACTAGTGTAATATGTATATAGTTTGTCATATTCTGTTAATTAATTTTTGCATATTTAAGATGATGGTTTTTTAACATTTTCAGAGACCAAAAAAGTAAAAAAAACCTATCTTTTGGAATGTTAGAAAGGCACTCTCTACTTTCACACCCCCCCCCCCTCCCCTCCTTTTTCCCTTTGGTGCAGAGAAATTAAGTGATTTGTATTCATATCATAGGAAGAATGTATGAAGGGTTCCTATTATTGAAAAAAAAAACCAGCATGATCTACTGGAGGAGTTGAGTTCACTTTAGTTTTTGTGAGGTTTATTTGATATAGCTTAGTTTATTTTTCCAATTTTAATTTGATGTATGGAATAAAGGGGTAGGGGCGTTGTTGGAAAAGTTAAAAGGCTGTTCTTGAGCTCTCTCTATCCTTGGCTGTCAGTGATGTTCTTCATTTTTTGGGTCTTTTTTGTGCAAGAGTGGTGGCATGTATGTAAAATGAAATTTGAAAAATTAGATAATGCCATATATGTGGTGGCTTAAGTTTGTGGAAACTTGTAGGATGAAAATGCATTGAAGTAAACGTGTGTTTAGATTTTTAATATGGCATTTATTTTGGGATTTTGTGTTAAGGTCAAAGTGAACTGGAAGGAAAAGGGTTAGGGTTGAGTTGGACTTGGTACTGTAGGGAATTGGAATGAAACAGGTTCTGCATTGGGGTGGTTGCTGTAGCCTGTCAAAAGTTTCAAAGAGAATGAAGCAGAGGAGAAGAGAAGCAGAGGAGAAGAGAACAAATCAAGGAATCGTACCTAAGAGGCTTGCAGACTTCACCTTCACAAGAATTCAGCCACATCACGCAGATGCAATTTCAAGTTTCTCTTCGCTGAGCACTATGGGAGTGGAAAGATTATTTGGATATGTACAGAATACTGCTATTCTACTTTTAGTGGAACCAATATATGGATGTTGCATTAGCATGGACATTTCTTTACACAATTTCTGTTGTGATTCATAAACTGGGAGGTTGGAATCTAACTGAATTAGACAACTATTGTTATTTTCATAAATCATGAAAGCAATAATCCTATGGTTCCTCTTTATCACCACTCAAGCAAGGGTTTGCAGTTCACATAGCTGTTTTGAGATCTCAAATGTACTCTTCTCCTTCTCTTCCATCCAATTTGACTCAGTTTTTTTTTTAGGATGTAGCTGTATGCCCGCTCAATGTGCTTCAACCTAACGATAAGAGGCTACTGTGTCATCTTTGTTTTGACCTGGAAATAATATACTATTTATTGGAAATTAAATTTTTCTTTCCACAAATACTGGCTCTAACACTGCATTCTGTTCTGGTAAACAGGCGGCCAATTCCCTTCGATGATTTGAAAAGGCTTGGCATCCCACCTCCACCAGAGGGAAGATACATGTCACGTTTTCAGGTAAAGTACTATGTGAAATATCAGCATTTTGCGAGTGGAGGTGAAGTACTTTGTTAATGACAATGTATTTAAACTTTCTGTTTTGATTTACTCCTTGCCAACTGTTTGGATATGTTCATGGCCCTCCCCTATCTAATCCCTAAGTCCTATTGTCCTATTGTCCTATTGTTATGATTTTTTTTTTGGGGTGAATGAAGGTTCCATCAGCTCCTCGAAGAAAAAGCTCTGTGGAGATTGAAGGACAATATTACAAGCACCACAAGCATAGTAAACGGAGCTCTGTGGACAGGGAAGATAGCTCTCATAAGCATCACAAACGTAGTGAACGGAGCTCCGAGGACAAGGAAGACCGCCCTAACAAGCATCATAAACAGAGTAGAAATGCTCATCAACCCGACCGAGGCTCCCATAGCCGGCATCGGTCATCGGATGAAAGGACTTCTGTTGATAGGGAAGAACGCGCTCACAAGCGCCACAAAGATAGCAAACATTCTCTCCACCATGAAAGATGGTCACCAAACCAGGATCCCTCATCTAATGATGGGGTTTTAGCAAGTAAGCCTTGATCAGAGGTATTGTCTGTGTGTGTGTGTGTGTCTGTGTGAGAGAGAGAGAGGTGTCCAGTCTTGCTGGATTGAAACATTTTGTATATGGTAAGGCTCTAACTTCGAGGTGAAAAGACTCTTAACCTGGTGGGCTATCTGTATCTGAGTTGAATAGAATGACATTACATAGAAATTTGGCATGATGAAGAATATTTTTTAAGGCAAAACCGCACTATTTCTGTTGTTGGACGACGACAGAAGATGGCTTGAATTCAATGTCAGTGCTGATTGACAAAGGAATTCAGTGCCGGAGTGGGCTGTTGGTGGCGACGGTGTAGACTGTCGATGTAAGCTGCGGTGGGCTAAGGCATAGGTTGCCAGATCGATCTGCGTCAAAAACAAGGATTTGTTGCATCCACGCGTGCCCAAAATGGAGACGTTTTGCTCCTAAAGGCTTTCGTCTGCGGAGAAGTTTCAGGAAGGAGGAAGAAGACAAACTTTTAAAGAGATTTGATTTTTTGCTTCTAAGAGAATCTCTTTGATTTTTTGCTACTGAGAGAATCTCTTCTAAGTGTCATCAGCTCAAGCCTATAAGCGTTGAGTTCTCCAAATTTTGATTATGTAGTGAGAGTTCAATAATAAAGTGCTCTGATGTATCTTCATATTGAGGGGGATGTATAATGGTGTAAAAATCTCAGGCTTGAGCTATTAAACTTGAATAGTGATGCTTGTACTGTTTGCACTCAATTTTACTCAATAGTGATAAAGGTGACTAGATCATGTCTCCTGGACGTAGGTGAGAATTTTTTTGAATCATGTAAATATTGGTCTTCTCTTTTCTTTGTGTGCTTTCATTATTTATTTATTTGTTTTCTCACTATCGTATTAATCAATTTGCTGCAAGCATTTCCCAATAAGTGGTATCATAGTATCCAAGTTCAGCATGGGAAGGGTGGAATTAAGAACAAGACGCATTGTTCTTAATTACCGATACTTCAATAGCATTATTACTCAGTTAATTAATGTTGAGGTGACAATTGGAGAAGAGGATAATACCATTTTTCTCTTGACTTCTCTTCCATACTCTTATGATACACTTGTGACTATCACTTTTGGTTAGAAAAGACACTATCAATGGCTGATGAGGTGACAACCGCTCTTTTAAAGACTAAGGCACTCAGGAAGTCGAAAACTAGTTTTCAAGCAGGATTAGTGGTAAAAAGTGAATTTAATCAACAATGTGGAAGGAGCAACCAAAGAGACTTTGGAAATGGTGGGAGGTCATGCTCCAAAACAAGAAAGACAAATAGTGGAAAACTCGAGTGTCACTATTGCCATAAGGAGAGACACTTCAAAAGGGACTGCAATTGACGAAAGCAAGATTTAGAGGAAAAAGCAAAATCTCCTAATTCAAATCAAGTGGGCATTGCTCAATAGAGTTCAAATGGAAACGGTGATTTCTTATAACATGTACGAATTATTTTATTGACAAATGGTTTCTAGATTCAAGATGTTCTTATCACATGTGTCATAATAAGGAATGATTTGATACTTAAAAACCCTATAATGGGGGAACAATTCTAATGGTAATGATTCAGCTTGCAAGATCATTGGAATTGGAACCATTAAAATTAAAATATTTGATGGTATGGTAAGAACACTAGGTGATGTGTGGCATGTCCCTAACCTAGAAAAGAATTTATTTTCCTTGGATAAACTTGACTATAATGGTTTCACCTTTATGACAACGATTGAGGTCCTAAATTTGTTAAAGGGACCATGGTTGTCCTGAAGGAGAACACAAGAAGGAAATTTGTATACATTATTAGTGAGTACTTTTATAGGTGGAGCAATTGTAACAACTCTTTTCGATTCGGGTACTGATGACACTACTTTATGACATTTATGCCTTGACCATATAAATGAAAAAGGTCTACATGAATTTCACAAGCACAGTTTGCTTGATGGGCTAAAAAACTTAAAAACTTAATTTTTACGAGTATTGCTTGTATGGAAAACAATGCAGGGTTAGCTTTAAAGTAGGATAACATACAAGTAAGGATGTCTTAGATTACATACACTTTGACATATGGAGACCCGTGCCAATTCCATCCAAAGGTGGGGCGGTGTATTTTGTGACATTTATTGATGATTTATCCAAGAAAGTATGGGTCTACTTAATGAAGCATAAAAATGAAGTATTTGAAACAGTGGAAAACAAAGGTTGAAAAGCAAACAGGAAAACAAGTCAAGTACCTACAGATGGACAGCAGAATGGAGTACACACATTAGGAATTCAAAAGATATTGTGAGACAAAAAGGATCTCTTAACATTATACTATACCAGATGGGCTGCAACAAAATGGTGTAGCAAAAATAATGAATAGAACCCTATTAGAGAGAGCAAGATTTATGAGAATCCATACAGACTTGCCAAAGTCATTTTGAGTTGAGGTTGTTAACATAACATGTTATATTGTTAACAAGTCAAAGTTTTCAGCTATTAATGCTCAAATCCCTGAGGAGCTTTGGACAGGTAAACCGATTAATTATTCTAACTTGAGAATATTTGGTTGTCCAACTTATGTTCACGTGCAGGAGTAGTAGTGATCCAAGTTAGATCCAAAGTTAAAGTATTGCATATTTGTTGGTTAAAAAAAGGCGTAAAAGGGTACAAACTTTGAGATTCGGTTGCAAGAAGGTTATTGTCAGCAGAGATGTTATCTTCAATGAAGAACATATGCTGAATTTAAACAAGGAGGAAGTCGATAAACAATTGGATGTTCATGCAGAAAAATTGTAAGTCCAAGTGGAGCCAGATGTGACACAGGGCCTAGTGGAGAGGATGATGCACCATTATCTTCTCAGAAAGATACATTTTGTGGTGATGGCAGGCAACAATAACCCACTGTTCTTGCTTCTGGAAGGGAGAAAATGACACATAAGGCAAGTATAACTTTGAAGACATGATTTCTTTCGCATTAACTATTGGTAGTGAAGATCCGTTTTGTTTTTCAGGTGGCATGTACGATGCATGGACAATCACTAAAGTCCAGTCAAATAACATACATGAACTAAATTCACTCAAGTCCAGATTACGAAAGAAATTTGATATGAAGGATCTAGGGGCTGCTAAAAAGATCTTTAGAATGGAAATCTGGAGGGATAGGAAAAAAAGGTAAACTATGGATATCACAAAAGAAATATGTTGGGAAGGTGCTAGAGGTTTAGAATGGGTAACTCTAAACCTATTAATACTCCTCTAACTAATCACTTTAAATTATCTGTTACATTCTGTCCTTCTATAGATAATGAGGTAGAGGAAATGTCCTATGTGTTATACACTAGTGCTATGAGAAGTCTAATGTATGCCATGGTTTGTAGTAGGCCAGACATTAGTTAGTATTATTAATAAGTATATGGATAATCCAAGCAAGTAGCTCTAGAATGTTGTTAAATGGATATTTAGGTATTTGAAAGGTACAGTGTATTTCAGTACCTTGTATCAGATACAAGATAGAACAGGATTGGTTGTGAGTTATGTTGATGCAGACTATACAAGAGATCTATACAACAGAAAGTCTACTACTGGTTACATATTTACACTTGCTGGTGGACCTATCAGTTGAAAAGTTATGCTTCAATTAATTCCCACTTTATCCACAAGTGAAGCAGAATATATGGCAACAATGAAAGCTACCAAGGAGGTTTGTGGTTGCCAGGTTTGATCAAGAAACTAAGATTGAAGTAGGAAAGTTCGGAGCTGTATTGTGGTAGCCAAAGTGTAATTCATTTGACAAAGAATCAAGTTTATCATGACAAAATACATTTAGGGGAGGTATCACGCTCTCCAAGAATAGGGGAAGAAAGCTAGGTGAATTTGATGAAAATTCGTACGAAGAGCAATGCAGCTGATATGATAACAAAGCCGGTTACTTAGAAGTTCAAAAACTACTTGAACTTCATTGATTTTTTGCACTGTTAGATTGATGAAATATCCAAAGACGTGAGGGACATCTACACCAAGATGCAGACATGAAATTTCAGGTGGAGATTATTGAATTCTCGACAAGGTGGAGATTGTTGTTGGACAACGACAGAAGATGGCTCGAATTCAATGTCGACGCCGCTTGACAAAGGAATTTGGCATTGGAATGGGCTATTGGTGGCGCCGGTGTAGACGGCGGTAGGCTAAGGCATAGGTTACCAAATTTGTGTCAGATCTATGCCAAAAGACAAGGACTCTTGCATTCACGCGTGCCCAAAATGGAGACTTTTTGCTTCTAAAGGCTTTTGTCTTCTGCAGAGAAGTTTTAGGAATGAGGAAGAAGACAGTATCTTTTAAAGAGATCTCCTTTTAATCTCCTTGGTTTTCTCCAAAATTACCGAAGTGCCATCAGCTCAAGCCTATAAACAGGTGTTTATTTCTCAAGCTTCAAAGTTCACTCGACATCTGAGTATGTAGCGAGAGTACAAAAGCTCTCAGTTGTATCTTCGCATTGAGGGGGTGAGAATTGAGTGGGGGTGTACAAAGGGTGTAAAAATCTTGGGTTTGTGATATTAAACTTGAATGGTGATGTTTGCAACGTTGTACTCAAATTTACTCAATAGTAAAGAATGTGTCCGGATCACGCCTAAAATGCCGACAAGAAATTTGTCGAACCACATAAATATTGGTTTCTCTTTTCTTTGTGTGCTTTTAGTATTTATTTATTTATTTTATCATTATTGTATTAATCAATTTGTTGCGAATATTTCCCAACAATTTCGAATCCCCTACCACCATTTTCCTCAAAAAGTCCATAGGGTTTGTAAAGTTGGCGTCTAAATATCCTCGAGATGTAATTTATCAGAGTTAGCAGTAGCCAGATATTTATGTTCACCATGGCAGTTCCTTCCTAGTTAGTGACCACAACCTATCCATCAACTCACCAATGGCAAGCTGCATTCCAGCATACCAAGTTAAAATTGATATTCACTAAGTTATAAATCATCGAAAACTAGTTACGCACGTAATACTT